AAGTAATGTTGCAGTTTGTGGATATATTGTCTGGAATTAAACCTTGTATTCAAAGAAAATGTTGAGTAGTAGTTTGTGTTAAATTAAATTGCTGCAGCAGAATGGGTATATTGCTGTTTCATATTTTGTGTTTTGTACAAAACTTGTGTATTGTTTGTTGAAGTAGTTGATTAAGGGTTATGAAGTTTGCCTAACATTCAAGCCAATGTAGATTATCCTCTATATGTAATGTGCAGCAATTACAAGTTGGATTGGCCATTTACACTTCTAATTATATAAAGGTTATATACAAGGCTTACTGTTAATACACTAAGAAAAATCTTTAAGTTTGACAAGCTAATAGACAACTATTTTGTAAAACTTCTAATATTATTAAAAAGATATCAAGAACTTTTTTCTAAATTATGAATTTATTTTTCAATCACAAACTGAAATCATTATAATACTTCTTATATTTAGATACAAACTTGCTAACTATTACTCTTTTACTGTAATTTCAAATTTATACTTTTAACTTCTACTATCAAAACAACTATTATCTACTATATATCAGAAACTTAATTACAAAGTTAGAGGTTTTTTTTATATTTAATTCATCTATATCTGAAATAATATTAGCTGAAACAGTTATATAGCTAAAAGAGTATTACATATTTAAACTACTCTTTAGTGATTGCTTTATTACTAAACTACTTTTGCCCAATAATCCAAATCTTATTTATACTAACTTACAGTATACCTATCAAATAATTGATAATAGAATAGCAAAAAAAATTTCTTGATGAAGTTTTTTAATAATATCATATTTGATTTCTAATATCTAATTACATAATAAAGCAAATCCTACAAACAAATCTGATCTATTAATAGATAGCCAAAAGCTTGCAAAACACTATCTATCACAACATCTTAATAACTTACCCAAATTGCAAAAACACTTCAACAACATTTTTATTTTAAATAACTGCTATTATTATGGATTAATATTGCAAATTCTCTTGTTCAAACTACAGATTAATCAGACAATACTGATAGTAATAAATCTACTCAGACCACACAAGCTCTTATCTATATCTGACAACATCAAAGATATTAATTTTGTATTAATTCAAAATAACATACAACTTGTTTTTCAAATAACTTTACATTTACAAATAACATTAATAATGCAAACTCTTAGACAATGCTATACAATTTATACAATTTTAAACTTTTTACTTAACTTACTACTATTATCTATACAAATATAAAAGATATTTAACACCTTTACTACAAATCAAATAAGCTACTTAGAATCAACACAGTAGCAATAAACAGCTTTTAATTTTATATTAACAGACTAATTATTGAACTCAACAACAAACTCATATACCAACTATTGCAACACATAATATTTAAATTATAATAATACTACTAAAAGGCAACTATAACTAAACTATTGCATTAGCCAATAGTCTAACATTATATAACTTATTAAAACAAAACTGGCATACTTCTAATATACTTACTTTACATTTTATAATAACAATTACAAATGTTTCATATTAAACAATAATATTCCAAACTCTTAACAATTAAGAAAATTTAGTGCAAAAACAATAACTTTTATAAACTAATTACTTACAACTTATATTCATATTATCCAAACTCTTTAAGTTACTGCTATAACAATTGATCTTTACCTATTATATAAAAATAATTTTCATATTATTTTTACTTATTTACTTAATAATTCTGATACTAACAAGCAAACACAAAACCAAATTATTGTTTGATTACATAAGTGCAAAAACTCAATATTATACTAGTAATTATAGGAGTTTTAACCAAGGCCTTAATAGACTGCAGCATTTTACACTTTACAAATACCTTATATTATATAAGTTTATTTTACTAATACATACTTACTATTTATATACTTCTACTTGGCAATGTAAAAAGCTCTTTAGCCAAATCAATTAAATCTAGATTTTACAACAAATTCTATATATATTTATAATACTTACTATTAGTCATGCAACTAGTATTACTGATAATAACTATTACATTATTTATATCAACTTTCAGATACACATCAAACTAACTAAACAATACAAAAAATACAAATACAAGGTATTCAAATATGACATTATGACAAATGAACTTTGAAAGAATTTTAATAAACAAGCTTTTAACTATTATTTTCAATTACAGAAACAACAGCCTCTATACTAATTGTCAATCAACTTTGGCACCAAATTCAATATGCAGTCCTTACTGCAGCCAATATATATATACTCTTTACTTTTCATTTACAAAAACAATTTTAAAACTTTTTACCCACTGTCTTCAAAGCTCATACCATACTAAATACCTGTGACAGCATATTTTACACTCTTGTTAACCTTCACTCTTCTACTAATAATAATAACCAAACAAATATTATACTACTAAACAATATAAACTAAAAAATATACAAACAATTAAATTACTTATCATAATAGTTATCACATCTCTCATCTGCTAAATATTAACTATAACTATTGATGGGCAAATCCTGATTTTTTTAAAAATTCTGTACAGGATGTGGAATCACACGTGAAATCTACATGGGATTTGCAGAATTGAGTAAAGTTTTTAAATTTCTCACAAATAATAAAAATATATATAAAGTTCATCACTGTAAATATAATTTCCTGTTAAAATAATAATTATTTCTTATAAATATTATTGCATTTATTATAAATAAAAAATGCTTATATAGATTTTGCCTATTTTAAAACATATATAGAAATTTCTTATACAATTTAAGCTTAAAGTAATTGAATCTTATAATTATTAAATTTATCAATTCAGATTCACCTTAATATTATAAATTTAAATTTATAAATTAAAAATTAAATAAATAAATAAATTAATAATATAATAATATTTAATAAAATAAAAATAAGGTATAAAATAATATGCTTATTAATTTATTTATATATATTTATATTTTATATTTTTTTGTTGTTTTTAATTTTATATATTTTTTTATATTTTATATTATATATTTTTTTTGTTATTTTTAATTTTATTATTTTTTTTATATTTTATATTTTATAATATTTTTTAGTTTTATAATTTTTTTATATTCTACATTTTATATTCTTTTTAATAATTTTAAATAATCAAAATTAATAAATGTATTATTATTAATTTTTAATAAAATTATTATAAATTTTTTACTATTAATTTTTTATTCTTTAATATCTTGATCTTCAATATCTTAGTTTTTAGTATCTTGATCTTCAATATTTTGGTTTTCAATATCTTGATTTTCACTATATAGATCTTCAATATCTTGATTTTTATTATATAGATCTTCATTATCTTGATTTTCACTATATAAATCTTCAATATTTTGATTTTCACTATATAGATCTTCACTATATTGATCCTCACTATAATAACCTTCACTATCTTAATTTTTATTAAAATAATTTAATTCATCTAATTCATCTAAGTTATCTTCATCAGATAAATCTGATTCATTTTCATTATTATCAAATAAATCTTTCCAAAATTTATTATTTAAATCAATTTTATCAATATTTAAACAATTTGGTTGGCTTATTTCACTAATTAATTCATTTTTAGCATTATAAAAATTTTTTAATTTACTATTACTAAATATATAAACTAATTTAAAAACTCTTAATGATTTAATTATATTTCTTTTTTTTAAATATATATAACTAAAATCAGACCAATTGCATTCTGCTGCTGCTAATGATGTAGGTATTGTTAAAATTCTTTTTGCAAATTGAGTAAGTTCAGGAGCTAAATTTGAAAAATTGCCAGACCACCAAGTTAATTGATCAATATTATTAACAGTTTCCTATGTCATAATATTGTTAAATAGATCTGAATAATTTAAATATTCTAATAATTAACTATAAATTTTAGTATAAGTTTCAGGATAATATTTTTTAATAAAATCAGATACAGTTGTTATAATATTATTAGCTAATGTTTTTCTTTGAAATTTAGAATCAATAAGATATGCTATTTCTATTACAGGATTATATATACTATTTTATCTTTTTTGAATAATATCAAAAATTTGTTTAGATGCAGAAATTTTTACTAGATCTATAAATAAAATTTTAAAAATAAAATATTTAGTTTTTATAATTTTGTTAAATTATATTAATAATATTTAATATTATAAATATTATATTTTAAAATTAAATAATTAATAATAATATATATATATATATAATTAAATATTATTAATATAATTTAATTTTATATTTAAAAAATTAATAATAAATTAATATAATTAATATTTACTTTCATTAGTTTCAAGATTTTCATACCATTTATAAAATTGTGATAAATATGATGTATTGCTTTCAAAAATTGTAATATCACTTACTAAAGTTTTTAAAATAACTAATAGATTTTGAATTTCATTCCAAAATTCATTATTTTAAATAATTTCAACAATTTTTAAATTAATAATAGCTGTTGGATGATTTATTAATTCAGTAGTTGCCAAACTAATTGCTAACTGATTAACTTTATTTGAATTTAAACAATTAGCTGCTGAGTCCTATCTAGTTTCAACAGATAATTTAAGAGTTTTGTAATTTAATCCATATTTATCTTCTTGATATCTTTTTAAAATTGCTGCAAGAATTATATGATTTTTAAAAAATTTTACTACTAATATTGCATTTGATAATATACTTTTTGCCCAATTTAATTTAATAATATCATTAATAAGCAAATTAAGATTATGAGCTAAACAACCTATAAAAATAATTATTAAATATTTATTATCTAAAATTTGCCATGCTTTTTTTATAACAAAAGCATTATCTGTTATAATTGCTGATACTTTTTTAAAATTATATTTTAGGGTGTGGAGACCTAGTGAAGTGGTCAGGTTGTCAACCCCCCAAGTGGTAGGTTGGGTGTTCAAATCCCATCGACGGCGAAAATTT